AATTAATTAATTTTTTTGCAATTCAATGAATATGATTGATTCACAATATGAAATTTTTTTACTCATATTCCAAAATGATAAAATAAATCTATTTTTAAATAACACACTTTTCTATTTTTATTATAATATTAACTATTTTCAAATTATATATATATATATATATATATATATATATATATATATATATATATATATATATATATATATATATATATATATATATATATATATATATATATATATATATATATATATATATATATATATATATATATATATATATATATATATATAATTTCTTATGACATCATTTTCAATTTAATTACTGTTTTTATTTTAGGATAAATTTACTACTTTCTAAATTAAATTGGTCTTTATTATTATATGATTCATACTTTACTATCATTCATAAATATGAGTTTTTAGAAATATTAGGTTAAGATTCAATTTTAATTTATCTTTCGGGTAACTTTATTCTGTCAATATTTTCAATGTGATATTTTAATTGTTATGAGAATGTATTTTTTTTAAAGGACCTTCCAATATTCCTTTTATAATTAGTTATACGGATTAATCCTTAAACACGGTAAAACAATTTATTTATTTTTCAATCATAATCCTCAGATCAATAGAAATATTTGACTAAAACCATAGTATTTTTAAAAGTTATACATATAATTAGTTATGATTCAAAATTAAACTCAAGGTCTATAAAACAATAAATCATTAATATAAAAATGTAATTTAATATCCAATACATGAAAATTGGAATTGGAACTTTTAGAAGGCAAAAAAATTCCTTCAAATATGTATACTTGTCGAGAAATAAAAAAATTAGAACTTTCTTCTAAATATGTATACACGGTTGAAAGAAGTAGTTTCTTTAATATATAAACTTCTCAAATTCCATCGTCACACAAACAACAAAATCAATCCCTTTAACTTTAAACTTGTCAATATAAGGAAGAACATGTTTTCTTGAACAAACTCCTGTGTGGAATTTTTCTTGTGTAAAGATTTTGGTGGTTAATTTTTTGGTGTTTATTTCATTCGTGGGGTTTGTTTTGTTTTTCCCTTTCTGTGGGCTGGTTTGGTGTCGACTTATTTTGAGTTTAGAGAATTTCTCACCCCACCCCTTGGGGTTCTTAGGCACCATGCACGCTTTCAAAAATATTCCCTGCTTTCAGAGATGTATCTCTAGACACGCCTTTTTTTTACTCAGCGTTGGTTTTTTCAGAGTTACATCTACGAAATGTTTCTGTTTATATAGCTCTAGAACATATTAGAATACATTTGCGTCAGAGTCCCTTCTCCTCTCTCATTCTTCATTTTTCATCTCCTTCACTCTCAAACTCTCCAAATTCTCTCAATCCTCAAAAAATCTTTTTTCACCAAACTTAATTTTTTTTCAATCAAGTTCGGCAATGAGCATTTGTCTCAACGATCAAGACACTCCAAATCATTCAAAACTCGATATAATCGGTAAGTTTTTGAGTTTTCGATGCATTTTTGAGTATTTCTCGCAAACGAGTTAGAATATAGTTTTAGGGGTAGAGATCGTTAGATAGTTTTAGAAATATAGTTTAGAGACAATGTATTGTTTGTTGGCTGAAACGGACGATCAGAGCTTTAAAAAAACAATTTTCATGGGTAAGGGACACCATTGTCGTGGCTGTTGGAGTTGCAGAAAGTTCCGGAGCTCCATCTACGGAATAAATTAACGTTACCGTAGATACATCTACGGAAGGTTTCCGTGTGTACATATCCGAAAGTAAAAAAATGTTAATATTTTTCTTTTTTCTTTTTTAAATTTATTTGTGTGTAATTGTTTTTTTATATACCTTGCATACATTATGGCAGATAGAGACGATAGATTGCGACTTGGACGGGTTTCACATATGCATCTGTCAGACGCGAGCGGAGTCAGGCCACTGTTACCGAGGCCGATACAACGGAGGTACAACGTACTGCACAACCTTCTACATCACATGCCTAGAACACTTCATCGACCTCGTATCCCACCCCGTCATCCACTTCTTCATCCCGGCGGCGTCAGGATTCAACTGAGGATTCATCACAGGCCCCGTCCTCCCGTAGGCTTTGTCGGGGTACTCATGTTTCTCCTGCTGCCGTTGATTCGGTACCACTTGCAGAGGGTGATGACCCACCACCAGAGGATTCTGGTGACGACAACGACGATGAGCCTGAGGGTTTCCCAGGGGGTCCCTCAAATATGTCCCTGCTGACAGGGTACGCCGACCATACTGCTAGACATGTTTGGGATGGAAAGGTAACATTACTCAGATTGTTTCTTTTTTTTTTCATTGGATATTTATACTTTGTACCATTATTTCTTATTAACATTTTTTCTTATTTATGGAAATTTTCAGACTCGTCCTCTGCAGAAGTTCTATAACCATGGGCAGAATATATTATCTTTGGATCAGCCACATAAGGCTTTGTTCCAGGACGTCCTTGCCACCTCTGGTTTGAAGGACCTTTGTGTGATGGGTTATAGCCTGATCCATAACGGGATGCTGATGGACTTTGCGAATCGATAGCACCCTGAGACGTCCTCCTTCCATCTACCGCACAGCGAGATCACGATTACATTAGACGGCATCTCTTGTGTGTTACATATACCTATCAGGGGTACCCTCCTCCGTCACGGTAGGATGATGAAGGGGATGCGAGAGAGATGTTGGTGAATGAGCTTAGGGATGATCCACTGGATGCGCTTGAAGAGGTTGATAAGACCAGAGGGGCTTATGTGAGGTTCTCCTTTCTGATGCATCGTTTTGGTGAGGCACTCGATGCTGCACGCCAGGAAGATGGTGATCCAGTTGTGGTTGAGATACACAGGCAGCGCGTGCTGCTGTGTCATTTTCTATTTTTAGTCAACACTCAACTATTTGTGGACACGAGCTCCACATATAACGATGTCGCTTACCTCAGGTAATTTTTGGATTTCACACGGATCCATGAGTACAACTGGGGGCGGCTACACTGGCGTACATATACTCGAGGTTGGGAGAGGGATGCTTGTGAAAGACCAGGACTGTGGCAGACAGCGTGTCACTACTTGTGGTAACAATCTTATATTCTTAGATTTTTTTTTCATTTCTTTTCATTCTATATTCGTGATAATGCTTGACCCTAATGTTGTTTATTTTCATTTCAGGTTTGGATATTCCAACACTTTCCCATGATCTCCGGGTGGAGGAGTGTGCCTGATTACATAGAGCTGATGTTGCGTGCCCGTGCCTTTCTCTTGCTCAAGGGAACCGGGCGGTCGACCCTTATAGAGTCTATCTCGATCGCCTGGCTGCTAAGGACACTCACTATGACGTCTGTGCTGATCACCGTGTGACGTGCCCGTTTGATGACATCTTCTTATTCTTAGGATGATTGGCATGCAGTTCGACCACCATTGTTTCATATTTGCCCGAGCGTGTCATGCGGCAGTTTACACACAGATGATACCTAGACATTCAGCTGTCTCTGATCCTCTCGGCTTGACCCGTATGCAGATAAAAGAGATATATGATGACTACCAGAGGCACATGGTACTGAACGAGGCTCGGGCGACTAGAGGGTCGAGAGACTAGAGCTGCATTGATGGCTACATCACGTGGTTCTTAACTGTCTCACACTTATACATGATGCCCACTGCCGAAGGATCACCGTTCGGACCAGCTCATCAAAAGATTTCAGAGGAACAACAGTCTCAGTTGGACCATACTCAGGATGTCCTGCCTTGCTGTCGTCAGATAGTGCAGTTGGGGCAGGCAGACATTGACGTTGGTTTCTTCCATGAGGGGTCTGACCACAAACGTGTATTGGAGGAGATGATTGTGGTGGCATAGAGTGCATTTATGTACTGCAAACATCGCGCCAGGATGGGTGGATCGATGACTGAGGATGCAGACTAGGCGATCGAGGAGGCGGTAGAGGCAGAGGCGGCGGCAAAGGCATATACAGAGGAGAGGACGTTGTCAGGCACACAGAATAATGGTTGTGGTGTTTTTTTTAATGTATTATATTTTGATGTCATTGATGTACTATTTTTTTGATGATGTTTATGACATATGACTTCTTATATATATTATATTATTTTGTTTACATATTTATGTTATTTTATATTCATCTGCAACAGTTAATTTTCATTTGTGATCAATAAAACTAAATTTTAAAAAAATATATTCTAATAAGATTTTGGAGATACACCTACGAAATTTTTTTCTAGATTTATCTCCGAAAATATTCAACGTAAAAAAATGATATTTCTAGAGATATAACTCTAAAAAAACAAGAGACATAAAAGAAAAAATTTGTCATTAAAAAAATAAATAATTACGTGATAGTAAATTGATTTTTCAAATCAATCCAGATATTTTGACATTAAAATTTGGTCATTTAAAAAGAAAATATTTAATTACGTGATAGTACATTGATTTTTTAAATCAATCCAGATATTTTGACATTAAAATTTGCTCATTTAAAAAGAAAATTTTAATTACGTGATAGTACATTGATTTTTCAAATCAATCCAGATATTTTGACATTAAAATTTGTTTTAAATATTAGGTAACAGCAAAAATTTTGTTTAGGAAAAAAGTCAGAGCAATACTTAATTCAGCCGTTTTCCGGTTCACCTGTTCGATCTGGTTCGTTGGAAAATAGTGTAACAAACATTTCGTGCACTTTATCACGTGCAGTTTCGACACGTGTCACAGTATATTAAAATCGAAACGTCACATCACCATACCTTTCAATCCTTACCGTACACTCAAGTGCAGTCAATCAAAACCCCACTTCACCCATTCTTTATAGTTCCAACTTCCTATTCTAACAACGCGTAGAAACAGAAAACGCGTGAAAATTAAACGGCGCAATATAAATCACAGCACAAAATCCAAAACCCTAACGCGTCGTTTAGCAACAGATACTTAACTTTTCATTCTCTCTCGTTTGTGAAGAAGAGAAAGAAAAACCACGCCATGGACGACGAAGTGCAGAAGATCTTCAGCAAGTTCGACAAGAACGGCGACGGAAAGATCTCTTCCTCGGAGCTGAAGGAAATGCTTTCAACGCTCGGATCCAAAACCACATCCGAAGAAGTGAAACGCATGATGGAGGAAATTGATCAAAACGGCGACGGTTACATTGATCTCAAAGAGTTTGCTGATTTTCATTTATCCGACGCCGGAAAAGACGACCCCGATGAGCTTCGCGACGCTTTCGATCTTTACGATCTTGACAAAAACGGTGTCATCTCTGCTAATGAATTGCATTCTGTTATGACGAAACTCGGTGAGAAGTGTTCTCTCAGTGATTGTCAGAGAATGATTAGTAACGTTGATGTTGATGGCGATGGAAACTGTAACTTCGAGGAGTTCAAGAAGATGATGGCTCGCTAGATTAAACGATCGGTACATTTTCGTTTCTTCGTACGGTTAGGGTTTAGTGATTTCTTCTGTACATTATTTTGGATATTTTCTACGCTTTGTTTTTTGGTTAGGATTTTAGGTTGCAGATGCAGTAGAATTAGATGATTAGTTTTCTAAACAATGATGATTTGATTATGGTTTATCCATGGAATGATCGCAAATCTGTGGTCATATAGTTCTAAATTGCAGGTTCAACTTTTCATTGATTCTGAAACAACGTCGCAACTCTAATTTTGTTTGCGTTTGTTGAAAATTTCAATATCAATATTAGCAGTATAATCATAACTGCAATTTAGAACTATACTTGATGAACTTTCACGCACTGCATTATTCGAATTTTAATTTTAATTTTTCTGATACTATTTCCTAATATTATAATATGCTGATTCGATAAAGTTTAATGGAGTAAGAGAGGAATAAGCGGATATAGTCGTAAGTTTATGATATTCAAGGACTAATAACGCGTAGCGTAGGTTTTGGACTATTCTGCTTGAGTATATTATAATGAATGATTAGTTATTTTGTGGTTGGTGTTTTGTTCGTGTTCACGTTAAAGTGCAAGGTGGATTGATGAGATGTAACGGAAAACGCGTGAGCGGTTATTAGTGATCGATCACGTTGTGATGTGATGCTGCTGAGCTCAACGCGGAGTTTGAAATTGAGTTGTCTATAATACACTTTCTTTTTCCGTCAACTAGGGGTAACAAGGAACTATTTTTGGTCAACTTTTGAATCAATACTCCTTTTTAAAAAAAAAATTAATTCCTTTTTTTTTTGTCTTTTTGATTACAGTAGAATTTTAATTTTAAGAAACTAGTACTAGTATTGACGAACTTACTTAAAAATTTGCGGAAGAAATCAAAGAATTCTATTTTACATAAAAAGTAATATAATTATCACTTTGACAAATATTCTAATTGTAAAAGTCTAACTTTATGAATGTTAAGAAGTATTTTAAAATATTATTAAAAGAATTGTTTAATAAGCGTGATTTTCTATGTATTTTTTATGAACGAAATTATGTCATTGCTATAACGATGTTTTGCCGCGGGAAAAAATGGATCGATTTTGTTTTGTCATTGTTTGTGTTGTAGTAAAACACCTTTGTTTAAAACCTTGAACTAGAGGTAAGGATGAGAATGAGTTCAACTTACTTTTTAGTTTAATTTGACTAGATAAGAATTGTGTAAATTTAAAATTTGATTTGAGTTTATAAAATAATTTTTTCTAAATTGAATCGATTCATCTAAAATTCACAAATAAATTGATTCAACTCGATAGCTAGAAATCAATTTTTTAATAGCCTAACTTGCACCTAGTTATTTACCCAATCTAGTTTATAAACTTATAAATATTAATGTTAACTATTCAACAATGGATGAGAAGATTAATGACATGTTCAAGAAAATCTTTTTGATACAGCAATGTTGATTTTCGATACAATAGAACAATGTGTTTGTAAAGTTAATATTTCAACGCTCAAATTAAAAAGATAAAATTTTACAAGAGAATGAAAAATGTATATGTTATGGCATGTAGACGAGTTTATATATTATGGATGATTAAAATCACTCATAGTTGGCGAGACGTGGAGCATTGAAGATCGTTGGATTGGTTCCAGTGACTAATTAATGATGAGTGAGTCGCTCAGATCTAGAGTATAGATTTTTGACGAGGGTAAAACTATCATGTATTGAGTATTTGGCGTTGGACAGAACTTGCTAAGCCACTTGGTATTGCCTGAGATTTCGACGCACATGAATACTTGTAATGAGCTAGTGGAATTTGAAGAAATATTCTGAAAAAGAATATGTTATGTTTGACAAAAAAGTTTTTAGGGATATAGTCGAAGAAGACTTTCGTTGCATATAGGAAATTGTGGTCTGGGACTTAGAAATATATTTTGGTCTGGACTTGAGTTCGACGGAGTTGCTTGGAGTAGCGTTCGACGAACAAAAATTCACAATAAGGCTGATAATTGTTTTGTTGGCCTTATCTGTTTCTTGAAGACACGTGGAGAGTTTTGAGTAACGAAATGCATGCAAATCGAAGACATGGTATTTTCTGACGAGAAGACCGTTAGATTACAATTATTTTTAATTCATTATAAATAGGAGTCTTAGCAATTAGGACTCGTGTGTTTAAACTTTTACGAAAACTCAAATTTACTTAAAGTATCCATGTGTGTTGAGAAAAGAGTTTCCTGAGTGGAATGTACGTGTGACCACCATATTTTTATAATTTTCATTGAATCATATTTTTATAAATTTACTATGAAGTCATTTACTTTTCAATTTACTTTTCTGCATTTCTTTAAAGATTTGTAGTATACCTTTAATTAATCAACATAACATTGTCGAAATGTTCATACATCACATAACTTAAAATGAATAGAAGCACATGTCATAGTATCAATCTAGTCGATCGTGTAAGTAAACAAAGATATAAAAATTTGGAAGACTAGCGCTTGTTTATCAATTTCAACGGTAAACAAATTGGCACGCCCAGTGGTACCAATGCTTTTAATTCAAATTTATGAAAATATTTTGAAGTTCTTCATTTCTTGTGTTTCTCATAACTTCATTGCATGAGATTGAGAAGTGATAAAATAGCCACTAATAACGAAGCAATACCAAGAAGGAGATATGTAAGAAGAATAGCGAATCCACCAGATAACAATGGAGAACAACCCTCTCTTTCGACGGGAAAACTACGACCACGACGTTTGTGTCCGGAACAACTTCATCCATGGCGAGTACGACGACCATATCGCCGAACGTGTAAGTCAACAAAGATATAAAAATTTGGAAGACTATGTCATAGTATAAATCTAGTCGATCGTGTAAGTAAACAAAGATATAAAAATTTGGAAGACTAGCGCTTGTTTATCAATTTCAACGGTAAACAAATTGGCACGCCCAGTGGTACCAATGCTTTTAATTCAAATTTATGAAAATATTTTGAAGTTCTTCATTTCTTGTGTTTCTCATAACTTCATTGCATGAGATTGAGAAGTGGTAAAATAGCCACTAATAACGAAGCAATACCAAGAAGGAGATATGTAAGAAGAATAACGAATCCGCCAGATAAAAATGGAGAACAACCCCCTATTTCGACGGGAAAACTACGACCACGACGTTTGTGTCCAGAACAACTTCATCCATGGCGAGTACGACGACCATATCGCCGAACGCTCATAGTGGACCAATATTATCTCTTGTGAGGACGCAGGGTCAACCAGTGACCCCTCCCTCTTGTGAGGATGCAAGGTCAACCGGTGACCCCTCCCTCAGTGGGTACTAGTTTATTCAGGCCTTATGTGTCTGAATTTACAACGCCTTTAAATGGTCACAAACAGGTATATGGCATGCCAACTTCAATGATGCCGAATTTGTACAATACGACTGCAGCGTTTGCTGACCTAGTGGTGAACATGTATTCGCTGTTGCAAGGGTATGGATCTACTATTAATAATATGAGTCTAATTAACCCACCCCCAGAATGGGGTTCTCTGCTCAACAAATGACCAATTTTACCACAAAATCTAAACCAATTTTAAGGCAGTAAGTGGACGAAAGTAACCATGACATGGTCCATATGCTTGCCCAATAGACGGGCACAATATTGAACTCTTTGATTCAAAACACCACCCAAGTGAACCAACAGTTAGCAGCGCATATGACTCGAATCGCGGATTTCTTTGGGGTTTCTCAAGCACCTCGAGAAATTCAAAGGGAATTGGTGGTCGAAAACCACGGGGCAATCCTTGAAGAGGATTCTACCATTAACCAAGCCCAGCGAAATGCACCTCGTGTAGATGTGGCGAATCAAGGAGTTATAATCAAACCCCCTATAATCGAACAACCAGTACCAAGGGAGCAGGAACCAAGGGTGGTAATGGTTAACAGGAATCAAGATGCTTACAAAGTCATACATCAAGTTCAATACGATAGTATGTCAGGAGATAACAACTTGCCTGCCATGGTCGAAAGGATTATGGCACGGAATGGGGTAAATATTGGCCTTCATAGGCCAAACTATATTTCCATGTTGTCGGATTATATCTTGCAAACTGAATTGCCTAGGGGATTTAAAGTTCCAAAATTTACAAATTTGGTGAGATATTTAACTGAGGCAGGAGACCTGACGAATAATGAAAATTTAAGAATACAATATTTCCCTAGTTCGCTCACTAAAAATGCCTTTACATGGTTCACGACGCTCCCAGCGAATTTGATTCATGATTGGACTCGTCTAGAAAGATTGTTCCATGAACAATTTTACATGGGGCAGTCGAAGATTAGTCTGAAAGAATTGGCTAGTATTAAGTGTAAATTTACTGAGCCAATAGACGATTATCTCAATAGGTTCCGTTTGCTAAAGGCAAGATATTTCACACAAGTGTTTGAGCACGAATTGGTCGAAATGGCCACTGGTGGTTTAGATTACTCCATCAGAAAGAAATTAGACACCAAATATTTGAGGGATATGAACCAGTTGGTTAACAGAGTTCGACAGGTCGAGTGCTTAAAAAATGAAAAAGCCTGAGCAACTAAAAAAAATATAATAGAGAAAAGGTGGCATATGTTGAATCAGATGAATACAGTCAAGAAACATATATTGACCCTTTAAGCTTCGACGAAAATGAAATAGACCTGGCCGAACTAAAATAAGGGTCACACTATTCATGTAAGGTTCTTGCACCTTCGAATGGGAAAATCCCGTCGAACCAGAAAAGAATGATAAATTCCCCAAGAGAACATACACTTTCGATGTCACTAAGTGTGACAAATTTTTTGACTTACTAGTCAAAGATGGCTAAATGATAGTTCCACCTGGCACTAAAATGCCTCCATTAGAACAACGAAAGAAACGAGGTTTTTTTGTAAATATCACAATATTTTAGGCCACAAAACCTCACATTGTTTTCTTTTCAGGGATTTGGTGAAAAATGCAATTAAGGATGGAAG